ATGGTGTGAGAATTATATCTCAATAAAGCTGTTAGAAGGGAGCACAGTAAGTCTGTAGGGTAAGCATTGGACTGCTAACCACAAGGTCTGCAATTCGAGTCCACCAGTCACTGTGAGGGAGAAAGATGAAGCTTTCTGCTCCTATAAAGATTTACAGCCTTGGAAACCCTATACAAGGTTAGTTGTCGGAACCAGGTTGACAGCACTTAGCAACAGCAACAATAACAAAGCTGTTACAAAAGAAGTTTACTACATTCGTAAAAGAAATTTCACAAATGTATTTGAATAACTATGAAAAAAATTCATAGTTTAGGTTTTTTGAGCATCTGGAATTACTTTAGAGGTGAAGATGAGGGAGTTTAGGCTTGGTCAATCCATGGAAAGTGGACTGGCCTGGCTGACTGGCATGGCCACCTTGATGGGGGACGTGGGGTGGGTACTTGGAGGACTTTAGGTCTAAGTTCTGTCCCAGGAGGCTCTAGGAAACTGGGGGGGCTCAACAGGTATTTTGGCGTATACAACAGCCTTTCAATAAAAGGGACAAAGAGGGCCTGCTGGGGCAGGAGGCAGACCATCTGTGACAACTGGAACACTTTGTCCCTGCAGGAGGAGTAGCAGCAAAGGACTGGAATGCTGGTACAGACAGCACTGAGCTCTGGGACTGGGCATGTGACTCTGGCCTTCCTGAAGAGTCCAGTCCATCTGGGTTCCCCAGTTGGGGGCCATCCATGGTCACTCACTTGACTCGTAGGGTTATAAGCACATGGCTTTACCAGGTTGATCTTAAACCCCCGAGTTTGTGAAGGCAAGAAAAAGAACAAGAGAGAAGGAAGTAATTGTCCCAGTCAAGTTCCCTTAGCCCTTTACTCTTCCCACTAGGAGTTCCTGTGTGGCATAAACGGTTGTGCTTGAATAGTAACTGAAAGACTAGTGGTTCAAACCCACCCAGAGGCACCTTGGAAGAAAGGCTTGGTGATATGCTTCTGAAAGATTGTAGTCATATAAATTTTATGTTGTTGTTAAGTACCGTCTTGAGTTGGTTCCGACTCACAGCAAGCCCGTATAGCGTTTCCAAGGAGCATCTGGTGGGCTTGAATCACCACCCTTGCAGATAGTAGTCCAGTGCTTATCCCATAGATAAATGTCACACTAAACCCTATAGAGTCCAGCTATACTCTGACACAAATGGGGTCACTATGAGTCAAAATCTGGACGTCAAAATCTACTGGACATCAACTGGGTTTTACTTTTTAAAAACCCTCCTACTAATACCTCCAGTCTATTCAATTGAACATCATTTATGCCAAAGACTGACAGGTGCTGGTGCTGGAGACGCAAAGACCAAGGAACAGTCCCTGCCTTTGAGGAGTTTGCAGTCTAAAGGGGGAGGTTGCTATATAAACAGGTACTGTTCAATATAAAACTCACAGCTGACCTAGTCTGTTTATTGCCATGCTTTCTAGGGGATGCACAGGGTCTATTCCTAAGTAGTCCAACTTGAGGCACCTGGGTACTCAATGACTTAAACCAACATATGCTGACATGTTATTTCGCCTACTTGGAGTGGCGCTGTGGGTTACTGCACTGGACTGCAAAGTTGGTTTGAACTGCAGGGTCAGGGTGGTTCAGGCTCACTAGCTGCTCCTCAGAAACCCTTTACAGGGTTGCTATGGGTCAGAACCGACTCAATGGCATTTAACAACAATGACAACAGCATTGCACCAAACCCAAAACAAACCCACTGCCTTGAAATCGATTCCAACTCATAGTGACTTAGAAGTTAGGCTAGAAACTGCATGCACCCCAGAGTTTCCAAGGCTGTACATCTTTACAGAAGCACACTTGCCATAGCGTTCTTTAGCGCAGCAGCTGGTGGGCTCAAAACGCCCATTCTTTAGTTAGAAGCCAGCTGAATGCTTAACCATTAGGGCCTAAAAAGGAAAATATGGACTCTTTACATAAACATTTTTCAAAGAATAGTGGCTTTCTTAGATATCCTGACCATTACATTTTTGAAACTAGCCCTTATAAACACATCTATTGTGAAAAATGTATTCAGCTGATACAACTCATTATATCGTCACTTGCAAACATAGTAAGTTGGTGTGTTGGGTCAGCAATGGACACATAGTTGGATTTCCAGTGCCAAGTGCTAAAAGTCTTCTTTGGTCTCTAATAAATGCAACGTTTTGGATTCAACCTGAATGCTTAGTGATGGGCAGATATGAAGAGATGTGATCTGATTTATGGGATAAAATATCCTGTTTAAACTGTACTTAAACTTGATCACTCTGAATATTTGGTTTAAATAAATTTGTTGTGTGTTTCTCTATTTTATTTTTATCATACACGGAGTCATATAATATGGCAAGCGCGCTGCACAAAGTGCAGGAGGCCTGGATTTCTATCCAATATCCAAGTAACCCAGACAAACCAAACTCTCTCTAGGGGTTCATTTGCCACATTTGATTTGAATGAAAAACAAGGATTGTGGAGGAAATTTACCTAAATGATCTTAAAAGTCCCTTCTAGCAAAATGCTATTCAGTGAGTTAAGGCTATTTAAATTCAACACGCAAATCTGTGCCAAGTGAGCCATATTGGTATTTTGCCATTGAACCAAGAGTTTTAATATCTAAAACCAAATCAAACCAACACGTCTCTGAGCTCTATCTTTCCAATATTACGAATGCAAATTTGAGTGTTTCTAGCTGCTGGAGTTTAAGCAAGCCCAATCTTGAGGTCTTGCCTATACTTTATAAACTGGCTAATTTGTCACAATGCAGTTCTGTCTTTGAAAAAGCAAAATCATATTACTATTATTTTTATGCGTTTAAAGAACCACTTCCCACTGCAAACTTTACAACTACTGATTGCATACCAGGCAGAAACTGAGAGAATTTTATCTCTTCTTAGTACTTTTTTTCTCCTATCAAATACAAGCCCAACGATCAGAAATATGTTATTTCAGAAGACCTCAAAAGGTTCACTTGAAACAGACTGCCAGAGAGACTGCATCAGAAAATAGAAAAATCAATTTTAGAAGACATCTAAACACACAAAAGCCTTCAAATTGTCAAGAACCAACAGTTATAGTCATCATTTAGTTATTTAAAGGCAGGACAGAGAGAAGAAATGGTTTCCTCATGTCTCAAGATTGGGGTGGTTTTTGTTCATCATGTCTGTGTTGGATGGTGGGGCCTTTCCCCACCTGCTTCTCATAAAAATAGCTTCATGAAATTCCAGCCTCTTCTGAACTTTGCAACCTGACTGCCCATTATCTCATCAAGGTCTGGAGGATGTAACAGCTATTAGATCAGAAGTCAGGGAGTGAAAAAGGAAACGAATTAATTTAAAGATAGTGGTCATTCAAAGGCAGAAAATCCAAGTTAACTACAATTTCCTTGTCCATGTTACAGAGGATTGGGCTGGGTCCAAGAATAAGAAGGGAGAACTCGGCTGGGCTGGAGAGTGGGTGGGTGGAAGCAAATTCCTGAACGTGGAATGTGAAAATGGCCAGCCCAAGAGCAGGGAGCCACCCTGGGAAGGTGCAGAGTAGGCCCAGAATCTCCACTCAGGGTGAGTCCAGGTGAGGGGCGTGTTAGCGGAGCGCCACTGGCAGGGAGCCCGGCATCTTCCTGGGCGTGGTTCCTGCCAGTGGCTTCCCTGCCTGCAGCAGCCTACTGGGTGTCAGTGTGCAAAATCGCAGCTTAATCCTAGCTCCCGCCATATTAATTAGGGTCTTCTCAAAGCAGAAAGTTGAGAGCCAGGGGCCTCTTTCCCAGCCGCAGGGGCACTGGGAGGTCGATGGTCCTTTGTTCAGCCGGGCGCTCACCCCGGCGATCCGAACCTCTCCAGTGAACGCACCCTAACTCCCACTGCACCCCTCGCCGGGTTCCCAGGACCCCTTAGTTACTGGCCTCCTGTCCGGTCTCCGTTGTTAGACCCCTGGCCCTCGGTTTACCGCCAGAGGCTGGGGCGAGGGCGGGGCGCGCCGGGGAGGACGAGGCCGCGCGCTATTCCTGTCGCTGTGAGCTACCGGCATGTTATGTGCGGAGCCCAATTACGCCTCCGACCCGCCGCGCTGATCCGCAGATCCCCCTCCCCCCCCCAGTTCCTCTAATCCCCCAGGCTTTGATTTGATCCTCCGCGTGGAACAAGCTCACCGCTCCCCACCCCCGCCCCTCGCGAGCCAGTTGTCCCCGGTCTCGCGGGTGTCCGCAGAACCCGTACTCTTTGTCCACGTCCGGGTGGTCAGAGCCCTGGCCCTGTACTCTCCAAGTCCGGGGCACATCTGCGCATCTGGGCCTTCGGAGGTCCAGCAGCCCCAGAGGCCACCCACACCTTGGCCCTTTCAACTTCTGGCAACTTCTGGCAGCTTCAGCAGCTGCCCAAACCAAGACCTGCATCCTCTGGAAGCCTCTACCCTCTGTGCCCTTCTTGACCCTGGCCAGGGGCTGCTGGAAGTGGGGTCTGGGACGGATTTGCATTACAAGGGGCCCAAGGTCATCTGCAGACTCGGATGAAGGAGCCCTGGATGGAAGTTGAGCAGGCACAATTTAGCCCCTGCTAGGAGTCCTGGTGTGGTGCTGTGGGTTAATGCGCCAGACTGCAAAGCCGTTTGAACTGCAAGGTTGGTGGTTCAAGTGCACCAGCTGCTCCTTGGAAACCCTATACAGGGTCGCTATGGGTCGGAATCGACTTGACAGCACTTAACAACAACAAAGGGTTCTGGATGTAGTCCTGATATGGCGCTGTGGGCTAATGTGATGGACTGCAAAGTTGTTTGAACCACAAGGTTGGTGGTTCAAGCTCACCAGTCGCTCCTTGGAAACCCCTATACAGGGTCGCTATGGGTCGGAACTGACTTGACGGCACTTAACAACAACAACAGAGGGACCTGGGGCTCGCAAGGATTTCCAGGGGCGAAGTGCCCCGGGATGCCTCCGGCTGAGTCCCACGGCAGAAGCCCCGGCCTGGTGGCTTCTCGCCCTAGGCATCATGAGTTACTTCCTGTCTTACTGCAAAGCTCATGGCGGCGCGCTGCTCACCGGCTACCAGGCCTTGCGCGCCGAAGGCTTCCTTTGCGACGTGACGCTGGAGGTCGAGGGCAGCGAATTCCCTGCGCACAGGTCGCTCTTGGCGTGCTCCAGTGACTACTTCAGGGCCCTGTTCAAAAGCCACACCCGGGAGTCGCGGGCGCGCGTTATCCACCTACACGTGCCGTCGGCGGCCGGCCTGCAGCGCCTGCTGGATTTCATCTACACCGCCTGGCTGCCGCTCTCCATGGACACCATGGAGGACACGCTAGAGGCCGCCAGCTACCTGCAGGTCACGGAAGCCCTGGAGCTGTGCGGCCGCTACCTGGAGCGCCAGCTGGCCCCAGACAACTGCTGCTTCGCCGCCAATGTGGCGGCGCGGTTCGGCCTGTCGCACACTTTGGGCATTGCCGAACGCTGTATTGTGCGTCACCTGCAGGAGCTGTTGGCGCGGGGCGCCGGCCCTGCGGGGCTGCTAGAACTAAACCCCACGTCGCTGAAGGCCGTGTTGGGCGCCCCCGATGTGGCGAGGGTGCCCGAGGCTCAGCTGTTGGGCCTTGCGCTGGCCTGGCTTCGGCAGGAGCCTGCGGCTGAGCGCCTGGCGCACTGCACTTTGCTGCTGGAGTGCGTCCGATTTGGCCTGGTGCCCGCCGCTGTGCTGAGGCGCATGTACTCCGGCTCTGGCCTCGCGCTGCCAGCTCGAGTCAAGGGCCTCATCATCCAGGCTCTCAACTACCACACGGCTCCCTCGCGCCAGCCGCTTATGCAGAGCGAACAGACCAGTGTCCGGAGTCCCCAAACCCGCATCTTGTTGGTTGGGGGGCGCAGAGCACAGGAGGTGGTGATGGTGGAGGTGGAGGTGGCGGTACCTCGAAGGGCAGTGAGGGGTGAGGGCGCTGTGGTGGAGCCTGAGGAGGTACAGGAAGAGGAGGAGGAGGAAGAGGAGGAAGAGTGGGAGCTGACCCAGGACGTGGTGGCCTTCGACGTGTACAACCACCGCTGGCGCAGCCTCACTCGGCTACCCACCCCGTTGCTGGGCCACAGCGTGTGTGTCGTGGGTAACTTCCTGTTTGTGCTAGGTGGCGAGAGTCCTGCGGGCAGCGCCTCCTGCCCACTGGCTGATGCCCCGCGTGCAGTCACCGCCCAAGTGCACCGTTATGACCCGCGCTTCCACGCCTGGACGCCAGTGCCCGCCATGCACGAGGCACGGGCCCACTTCTGGTGCGGTGCGGTGGCTGAGGGACTGCTGGTCGTCGGGGGCCTGGGCGCGGCCGGCGAGGCGCTGGCCTCGGTGGAAATGTACGACCTACGCCGGGACCGGTGGATGGAGGCTGGGGCGCTGCCTCGGGCGCTGCATGGACACGCGGGAGTTGTCGGGGACCGGGGCATAGTGTACATCTCCGGGGGCAAGGCAGGAAGCGGTGAGGGCGTCGCGAGTAGCCTCCGAGATGTGTTTGCCCTGTACCCCGGGAAGCGGGCATGGAACAAGAAGGCACCCATGAGTACAGCCCGCTTTGGGCACCACATGGCGGCCCTGCGTGGTGCTGTGTTCGCTTTTCTGGGGCGCTATGAGCCCTTCTCCGAGATCGAGCGGTACGATCCTCGTGCGGACCAATGGACACGGCTGCGCCCCCTGCCCTTTGACCGTTTCTGCTATGGGCTGGCGGTGGTGGAAGAGACAGCGCTGCTGCTGGGTGGCCTCAAGTGGCGGGACTCGCGCCAGGTACCTACCCGCAACGTGGTGGGCTACGACTTGGATCTGGACCGCTGGGAGGACATTGACTGCGCGCTGCCTTGGGCCTGGAGCGGCCTGCAGTGCGCCGTGCTGCAGCTGCCCGAAGGTGGGGATGACGAGAGGGAGAAAGAAGCTGGAGAGACACCAGATTTAGTGATGGGCCTAATGGATTAGTTTTTATGACAGAGGAGAAAGTCACACTGGACCATCAGACCTATAGAACAACAGATGGGCGTTTCTTAAGAATGGAACTCTGGAAGCTGAGTGGCTTCTGAAGGTTAAGGAGGCAGACAAGATCTTGTCTGAAAAGGAATATTTCCCCTTTAGCTGAGAAGGAATAAGCAGGAGAAGGAATATAGAAGGATAGAGAAATTTGCTTCAGTGAGCTGGGAATTTCTACAGACTCATGATGGGCTTACTGGACCTTCCAAACTAAATATAATCCTGTTTTCCCTCTTATAGTTAGTGTTTACCAAGGTGCTGAATAAGAATCCTGGTGTGACGCGCTGGACTGCTAACCTGCTAACCGCAAGGTCGGCAGTTCAAAACCCATCCCCCCACGTCTCTCCTTAGAAACCCTATACAGCGTTGCTATGAATTAGAACCGACTGAACGACACTTAACAGCAACAACAGACAATAATAACTTTTGTGCCAAAAAAAGTACAAGAATTTATATCCAAAACTCAGAAGATTATTGATTATAAAGGCTGTAATATGGCATCCTAAAAGGTGGCACGTGCCTTGTTAAGCTACAGGAAATCTTATAAGAAGAACTATGAGTTTATGATCTAGAGCCATGGTTATAGTTTTGCTTTGATGGTTTGATGCACATAGAGGGGAAAGTCTCTAAGAAAGCATTTTATGTGTGTATATAAAGTATCCTAGGTTCATTTTTTTTTTAAATTGCCCATTGCAACTCCTAGTCTGCCTTTACTGTGGCTTTAGGTAATTTCCTTGGTTTTAGTTCATTTAAGCACCCCTCAGCCATAAGAATCAGGCTCCCCAAGTTAAGTTGGATGTCTAACAAAAACGAAACGGAGCCTAAACAAACATCTATTTCCTTTATCCTCTTTAAATGTTCATTCTGTAGACATGCTAGAGTTTATATATATATATATTTAAAGGTAGTTCTCCCTGTCCCCCAAATTTGGCTTCCCTAAAGGAAATCAAAATAGAAAGGAAAGAGAATCAGGTAAAATTTTAAGTTCGTGTCAGGTAAAATGGGAAACCAACTTGATTTTTTCAGAGCAGACACTTGTATACATGGACTAGTTGCCTATTCTGGCAAAGTTAACACTTCCCAACTGGGCAGGATGGTGATTGCATGCTTAGGTCCCAAGAAATGTGTTACAGACTTTGGATGAATAAAGCAGGTGCTTTATAAAGATTCAGTAAGAGCGGAATTTATTTGACTTCAGTTTACAGCGCTGCCTCTCTCCTAGATTTGAAACAAATGCAATAAAATGTACAGATATATAGTGGTAAAAGATCTCTTTCATGCTAGGCTAGCCACAAGTCTTTTGAAATTCATTAGTTTAATGTTTACCATTTAATACAACAGAGCTGACTTTACAGAAGTAAAAGCTGCTTCACGGCCACAGAGCTGGTCTTCCCTTCAACTTGCAGTTTACAGGGCCAGACCTGGCCACTGTACACGTGACACGTCCGTCAGGTACAGATATTATTATGTGAACATATACATTTGGTTTAGCAAACAACAAGTCTAAACACCTGTAACAAGCACACTGCATTTTAGGACAAGAGGGTTGTTGTTGTTGTTGTTGATGTTTGTTAGTTCTGCTTTTGGTACATATACAAAATCTCACAAATTTAATGTGTGTCAATACCCATGCAGTAAATAAATGTTTTTTTTACAAATAGTTTTCTTTAAATGATAAAAATATTACACTAGACCCCAAATTCCATACAAACATGAATACATGATTTCTTTTATCCATTTTGACTAAATATAGGTTCACTGAAAATGTGCTGTAGAAAGGCCACTCTCCTGTACAGTTGTGCAAAGTGTGCAAAACGATAGTGAGTCAATGGTGGTTTCAAAAGCAAAGAAAAACGAGCCTGGCTGTGGAGTTTTTGCTTTCTCCTATACAGCAAAGGGTCTCACTGGCAGATATCTGAACTCTGAAAGATGAAAGTACATTCACTGAGCTGTACAGGCAACAGTATAAAGCTGAGTAAAAGTAGATTTTAGGATACAGAATAGTAAAGGAGGGTCCCTTCCTCCTTAAAACCCAGCAAAGTGTGACTTGTACGTTATGCAGCCAGACACTTAAAAGCAGCACGGTTATTAGCATGCTGTGATCACTTTAAAAAACGAGACAGTTATAAAGGGAAATAGGTGAAGAGGACATTTTCATAGACTTCATCCACTCTATAGGTCAATTCATGAAGCTAGGCCAAGCTTCGTTGTTTCTCTCACATCATTTGATGCAGCCTATCTCTGAGTAATCATCACCCTTTTGCTTCTTAGGAGAGAAGTACACTTAAAAATTGTTTTCAAGATTGTTTCCTGTATTACAACACACACCAGCCTGTAACAACATATTTTACTTCTCTGCCTGAAGTATAACTACTTAAGTTTAATTAATGGACCAGGGTGGTGGTGGTAGTGGTGGTGGTGGTGTAGGGATTAGACACTAACTGGAAAGTTGATTGATTTCCATGTATATCTTGTGGTATTTTACGAGTTGGAGTTTGAAAGCTGTTAGCTGCCCTTCTGGGTGAGTTAAGTCGTTTTTAAAAATCCATTCTCAGTTTCCTCTGTACACAATCAACATTTCATCACTACAAAAATAAAGGAAGATTTAAACCAAGAAAATAAAGCAGCTCTATCTTCAATTTTGGTCTTAGTTACAAAAACATCTTACAAAGCTTTGCCCTGATACACCATTAAGTGTTCTCATAGATTTGGAATAGTATTTCCATTAACCAGCTTTCACAAGTTAATAGACTATTAAGACGAATATCAGATACCTGAACTTCTCTTTTTTGTCCATGCTCTTCTATTTTGCTTAACTCTTGTATACGCATCTACATTTCACAAAAATAAAACTACAGCATTAAACTTTGTGCAATGTTTAAGAAAATTCTTAGAACACTTTAATAAATATAAAAAAGGTTTAAATTCTTTCCCACCCACAAGGATGTCTGCACCTGAAAAAATGTGATTTGCTTTTGAAGTCTTATTTATATAAAATTAACTTAAAGGGAGAAAAGATGACTTTAGATATAAAACTGCCTTTTTGTGGTTTTACTACTTGAAGACCACTTGTCTTCAGAATTGTTTGCAAAAGTTAATCTTAAGTCATTAAAGACAGTTTATTTTGCACATGGTAAACACAAGCTGAGCACTAATTGCATATAAAATATACAAATGCTCATTAAAGACAGTGGTATTGTGACCTTATATGATTGGTTTCATATACTGGTAGTTCAGTAACATTAGCTTGTCAAGTGTCCCATACATTGATATAAAAACTACCTTATATACTTGTTCAAAGTACTCAAAGGTACCAGGTGACCTGAAGGCAGAATACACTTACACATGCGTTTCAATGTAAGAATGAGTGTGTGTTAGAGAGGAAGTGATTACATCTACTTCAGAGGAGATAGTTAACGGGTCATTTGAGGTGGTGTTTTGACAGATATCCAAGAAGAGGTCGAGGTACATCTGCTTCCATTGTTGGAATTCTTTAGATGTCAAGTCTGGATTGTCTAGAACTTTATCAATAATGGCTACTTCCCCTTCTCTGGCCTGCAATGCAGAAGGATTCAACAGTTATGATGGGGACAAACTTATCCAAGTTTAAAATAAAAAGTTAATATGCAAAAAAAGCTACCCTATAAGAAATGGCTCTGGCATATGTTCACTTGGCTATTTAGACTCAAGCCCTCATGTACTTTTGTTTAAACTTAAGTGATACCTCATGCTGTTCACTCTGTGATTCACTTTTTTCTCTAGGCCTGTCCTTTTCTCATTTCTGGCTATGGGAATTTTTCTCACTCTTTAGGATCAGTTCAAACACCTCTTTTCTTGATGCCTTCCTTAACAATTAGAAAAACAACCATCTGCTCCCTCACTTATATCTCTGTGACATGTCATTATTGGCAACATGAATGATCACATTCTGTCACTTGAGTTATTTTTGCACCTGACCTACCTCCCCGTGGTATGAGGTAAGTGCCTTATGCATGCCTGAGAGAAAACATAACTCTCCTGTTACCTCACATACATAATTCTTGCTGTGTGAATGTTAATGGCTCCCTTCCTGTAGCACTGCAGGCCTGGAATGGAAAATGGCCTTCCCTTTCATCTTCGTTATGATACGGACACCACAGTACAACTCTTACCTGTAGAAGAAGTGAATCTCCCAGGTAGAAAGGGGAACGGAGGAGGGTTTAAGTTCAGTCTTGTTTATAGACCCAAGGAAGGGGTAGGGAGGTCTAGGAAATGTTCTACAGGAAGTGAGAAGGCATGGCTCTGTGACAGCTGGAGTTTGGAGGGAAAGAAGACAGCAAGGTGGCTAAGAAGTTCTAGTCCTTGGTGCTAGGTAGCTTGGTTAAGACAAAGTAGATAGAATGGAACTGGAGTTGAGAATTCTGTGAGTTGTCTGTGGTAGGATCAGATATCTGTGCTTGGTAAGGGTACTGTTAAAATTCCAGAACTAGACAAACATAGGGTTACTTGGACAATTGCCCGTCTCTAACGGGAAATTTCATTCCTTACTAATTTCCTTGCTAAAAAGTATAGGGTTCTTTCTGTAGTTTGTTAGCAAAAGGCTTTCTTTATAGTGATTTTCTCATCCGCTTTAGTTGCCCCAGAGTCCAACAGAACACTGGTAACATACTTCATCAATACTTAGTCAACTAAACAATTCATCAATACTTAGTCAACTAAACAATCAGCAGCTCAGATTCTTTGCTACTAGAAGAAAATCCTTTTCAAGAATCTACAAAGCATAAAAGACAGGTGGGTGCAAGGTGTGTGTGGTAGATCTTTAGAATATGTGAACCTAATTTGTTTAAAAATATTTGCTCGTCTTCTAACCTAGGCAGTTCGGAGCTGAATGAGGGGTGTGAGTCTCTAAGACTGGAGGGTGAGATATCTTTGGAGGTGAGTTTAGTTACTGGCATCATTCGTATGAATATTAT